CGCCCGAAGGCGCGGCCGGGGCAGACGGGGCACGGAGAGCCCCACCGGCCGCCTGTCGCGCTCGTCACCTCACTTCTGGCAGCACCAGACGCGTCCACCCTCTCCAGCCCCGGCCCCACCCCGTCCTCCTCCTCTTCGGGACTGAGGATGCCAAGTATCTCACATTAAAAGACTGTTTGCACTCGCTGTTGCACGGAAAGGTCACAAAAAGGCTCGTTCGTTTGCCCGTTAGGAAAAAGAAACAAACAAACAAACAAAAATAACAGCGATCTTTTTGTGATAAACGTGGGAACTCCATCTTCTGAAGCAGAACTGAAATTTGGCCAGTCAGCAATGAGTTGTTGAATGAAATCCTGGGCACCTCTTCCTCTTTCTCTCCCTTAAAAAAGAAAAAAAGCATACAAGAACTGTGTTGTATATATCATGAACATATTTATGAAAGTGGCCACTAAATTCGCTAGAAATTCTGTCCTTAAAGCTACGGGAAAGGGACAGAACATAATCTTATAATTACATAGTGAAAGCCATTGCCATGGGTAAGGGTTGCATGTTATGTACAACATTTAAAGTAGTGTGAGGAAGCAGGAGTAATTACAGTTGCTGACATTATGTTGCAGTACATGTACAAAAGTAAATGTGGTTTTCGTGATTTATTTTTTTTTTACACTTTATTGCATATACTTTGTTTTGTGAGAGCTTTATGAACATGATCTTGACAGACGGTGAGGAACTGAGGCTACATGTGTATAGACAGGAGGAGAGAGTGCTTGGATTGTAGTTGGGGATATTATAGTTTGATGAGCTGCTGGTGGAGGAGGGAAGGACTCGATAGGGTTATCTGTTTATTTTCCATTAATAACATTTGAATCCATAAGCAAGCATCAGCCACAATGAACGAAAGAATTTGAAAAATAATCTGGAAAGGAGCATGGCACCCCTCAAAAAAACTGCAGCATGTGTGGCAATACCTATTATTTATCAAAGAATCCATCCACAGAGGACTGCCATCTTGAAGCACAAATTCATAGAAATCAGGTTTGTTTGGCTCCATTGCTTAGGATGCTTATGTGAGAAGTATTAGGAATTATTCTGCATTTAAATAATAATTACAATCATTAAACCAGTAGATAGAGACCCAGAAATCTTAGTAATGTTACATTTTCTCATTCCTTCTTTCTTTAGGATATTGTTATAATTTGTGTCACCTACTTCCACTGCAAGTTCTTCAGATTCATGAGAGAATACTTTGTCATGTGTTTGTAAGGCAGCCAGGTTGCTATAGTCTCTGGACAAATTCTGCACTGTAGTCATACAGAGCAGTAAGGACCTCACTGGTAGAGACAGCAAACACTTTCATTACTGAAACAATAGTTTGGAGTAATTTTTTTTGACATCTCATAAGCTAACTAATACTTGAGTTATGTACCTGAGTCCCGGGAAATTTTTAGGAGCAAACAGCCATGGTGACCTGCAGGGCACCTCGTGGAAGACACAGTTGCATTAATTCAGGTAGTGATGTCAGTCACCTCCTGTGCAAGTGTGTGAAAGGAGCTTGTGCCAGCATCCCCACAGTCACAGTCCCCCTGTCTGTTCTGGCAGCAGGTTGCACTACAGGCTTTGGAAAACTAACTTGCGCTCAAGAGAGGCTCACTAAGTCAAGTGGAGGGGAGAGCAAACTGCAGAATTAAAAATGTGGGAATTAGGATGAAATCTGACGTAAGATCTTTCATAGAGAAGCTGCTAGTGCTGAAATCAAAGTTGTATACTTGGTATTACAGCAGTGTTAAGCGCTCTTCCATATTCAAACACTTCATATGGCCTGAAGAAAATCGCAGGCCATATAGGACCTCAGACAGTTCCTGTGAAATGCAGTGCATGGCTACATTGTCTTTTACAGTGAAATATTACAGTTTACATACTGTTTCGTAGAACATTAGGAAAGTGATTTTCAAAGGGAGCTGAAAAATAAACACATGAAGATAGAAATGGTAACTGTTTCTCGTTCCATAGTTCTATTTCCTCTACTGATGTGCCTTAACTAGAATAAATATATAGTTATATGGATATAAAGATAGAAATTTTTATATATAAATGTATACTATATATTACAGACAATAAATTTTACAGAGTCATATATGTGATGTTATATCACATACACAGTATTTGCTGTACTACGTTGTACATACTGCAGGCTATGTATAATAGTTCTACATACAGTACAAATTGATGTATTCTGTGTTTATATAGAATAAATTTGTATTTATATTACCACTGCATACATTAACATATCTATACAGAAATAGTAGATTATATTGACGTATGTTAACCGTTACATAGACATATACATTATATACGTATGTGCTT